TTAGCGCCAGATGGATTTCACACAAATTCCCTAGTTGAATAAATGTTCTGCCCATCATGGGAATCGAACCAACATCAACCTTCATTGGGATTACATAAGCTCAGTCATCAGAGTCAGTCATTTTGTTGACAATCCACCTGAGCCATCTAACCGGTAATCCACCTGAGCCATCTAACCGGTTAGATGGCTCAGGTGGATTGTCAACAAAATGTGTTGAGGATAAATATTTCGGTCACTATTTACTGTTTGTTTGTAGTAGTGATTGAGAGCTTTCCCGCTTGTCTCAGACCACCACGAGCGCAGTGCGTGTGCCGCGCGTCCACAGATTCGCAGTCAGAGCGAAGGGCCAACCCTTCCTCACGCATGGCTTGGCACTCACAACATTAGACTTTTGGTGGTTACGCTGGAGGCTCCCTGCTGGACAACCCCTCTCTTGGTACAAGAATTCTCAACAACGCCTAACGACTCTTTTCTCCTCCTCCTGCATGACAACTGTGTTTCCCACCCTCCCACCCCTCTTCAAAACCTCGTTTTTGCCATTGCTGGTGTCTGGGCGCCCATAGACGCCGCACTGCGGGTCGTATGGGCGCGGGGGAGAATAGGGGCTAGAGGCATGCCGCAGTCCTGGAGGCTACATGGAGATGGAGAGGGCAATAGAGATGGTGCGGACAAGATGGAGAGGGTGCAGGAAGGAGATGTACGAGGATGGAGGGAGTGGGCTCTGGCGATGGAGTGCCGACCGACCAAGTGTGCTCAGCCCGGTCACGGACGGAAATTTCCCAAGGTCCATGGATTGTCTGGGTCAGTGGCAAGGAAAAGGAGGCACAGGATACGCAGAGGGACAGACTTCTGGTCATGGTGTGCGGGCTCCGAGCGGTACGCTCAAGGACGGCCAATTACTAGTGTGGCGAGTCGAGCACGGGACGCAATCGGGGACGCATTACGACAGCTCCATCAAGTACAACGAGCCAAAGCGCGGTACGCCAAGACGGAGACAATAACGATTCCTCGACCGAATACAGGCCTGCGACTCACGAAATTTTCGGACAGCGATGGGTGGTCATAGGATGGAATTGTGTAGGAGTTCTTCGGGTTAGGCTGCACTTTGGTGAGGGGGAGTTCGCAGAATTTGGTCGCGCAAGGACGCGATGGTCTCTTGCGCGAGGGGGAGTGTTGAGGATAAATATTTCGGTCACTATTTACTGTTTGTTTGTAGTAGTGATTGAGAGCTTTCCCGCTTGTCTCAGACCACCACGAGCGCAGTGCGTGTGCCGCGCGTCCACATGTGGCGCGCCCGTGCTTGTGATGATCCTTCCCGCTCCCTCAGGAACGGTCTTCCGCTACACGGAAGGAGCTCTTCCGCTCGATCCAGGTCCAGGCGACCGCGGAGAAGGCGGCCAAACAAATGATCCTCGATATGAAAATACGGTGGTCCTCATCATATTCAATGCTCGACCGGGGATTCCAGCTCAAGGAGGTAATGTATCTTATTTCATGATCCGTGACTGTTACAAACGCCCCTCATAGTCGGTCGACACCTTCATCTTCGAGATCGCACGTGGGGAGAAGGATCGCGACAAGCGTGACAAATTGACCGCCCTACAGCTGACGGATGCCGAGTGGAACCGCATTGACCTATTCCTCAATCTTCTTCAGGTAATGTCGTCGCCGTGGATCTCAGATCGTACCGACCACCCTTCCAGAGCGCTCAGAACGCCCAGCACTCCTTCTCCGCGGATCTACGCTCCACCCTGCACCTCGCAATTCCGGCGCTTGAGAAGCTACATGCGGAGTGGACTGTCAAAACTACGCAGGACAAGTACTCGGTATTCCATGTGGCCGTGGAGGCGGCGTTGCTAAAGGTTGACGAGTATTATCAGAAGACCTCGAACTCGAACTCGTACATGTTCGCGATGGGTATGCTTTAATCCATTACAATTTACTGTTTCTGAGCCCGCCCAGTTCTTGATCCACGCAAAAAGCTTTCTTACTTCCAGAAGCACTGGCCGCAGACTCTCCAAACCGAGGCCAGTAATAATATGGAAGAAACTGTTAGTGCGATAGTTCTTGTATCAAAAACCTTCACTAACTTCTGGTGCAGTTCAAGGAACGCTATCTGCGTCTCAGCGCGTCCGCCACCTCACCATCAACAAAGTCTACAAAGTCACGAACTTCGACCTCAAATCGGGACCGCCGCGCTGTTACTCCAACGGACGATGACGAGGAGATGACCGACCTTTCGGCCAGCCACATTGATCCCTTGAAACCATGGCTCGACGAATACCGGGCCTACTTGGACGCGCGCGAAGCCGTACCCGCAGACATGAACACAATTCAGTGGTGGGGGGTAAGTCGAACATTTAGTTCTAGTGAATCACTGACCAGTCGCCAGCGCAACTATCATCGCTATCCGACGTGGGGCTCCCTTGCTCGCGACTACCTCGCCATCATGGCATCATCCGTGTCCTCGGAACGTGCCTTTTCCTCTGCCGGAATCACCATTAGCAAGCGTCGTAACCGTTTGAAAGGGGACATTGTTGAGGCCCTACAAGTCCTCAAGTGTATAATTCGACGGGATCTGCTCTTCCGAGTGCCCGAGATGGTTGACGAGGATGGAAAGGACTTTGAAGACTTTGACACGGAAATCGTGGGTGCGGACCAGAGTGATCCTGAGCGGGGTGGTACCTGGGATATTCTCGTTGACGAAGACCCCGATAATTATGATTGTAGTCCTAATTAATGTACTATAAAAATGCTGCAAACCGTGTAGTGCGAAAAAAATCTGTGAAGCCTGGCCTCAGGCCTGCCTGGGCTTGGGCGGGCTTGGGCTCGGGCCTGGGAAATCTCAAGCCCGAGCCCGCTCAGGCCCGGCCCAAGCCCGGGCTTCGAGGCCAGGCCCGGCCCGTAACATCACTAATCCGGACAAATTAAGTATATAAATTGGTGCCCCAAGCCCGACAAAAGTTCGGACAGAGTCATTGATGCCCTGACAGGTTACATAAAGCCAAGATGCGACATTGAACAATGTATTAGTAATCTCTCGTTGCCATGTAACGCGATTTACGTAATTGCGTGGCTGTGTCTCTCGGCTGTCCGTCCAGCTCTGTGCGCTCCGAAATTCCTGTCCCTTGAAACTCCCCGTCCTATACCCACATAAAAGAATGGCCTGCACAAGCGTCAAGACAGCGAAGACGCGCCCTGTTCTTCTACTCGCTACAACAGGTGACAGAAAATCGGCACCCCTTAGGGCCCTTACCCGCCCGGGTACTTGCCCAATACCGTGCCATTTTGAGCTATTCCAGCATCCAATTCTCAAGGCTTCACTGTTTGTGCGCGTGCCTACGAAAGGTCCGGCGAAGAATATTGTGCATAGCTATCTGCCATCTCATACATCTCAGATCTCATTCTCTTGGTCTCGTCAAGCATGTAATCAGGCCGCTTAGCCAGTGAGAAAGCACGATTTATGGTTCCGGAAGCAATGATAATCATCAGCGACGCAGTGGATGCAGAGCCGTGCGTCTGCTACCCATGTCTTCTTTTCTAACTGACAGTTACTTAATAATACTCACAGTGCTGCCAACCTTGGCACCCTCAAGGGCAGCACCCATTCTGCATCACGCACCGATGACAATCGCTGCAGACGGCGCTCTCGAACATACCCGCTCTTCAATGCCTTTTTGTGCGTCGGACTTTGCTCAAGGTATTCTTGCTCACCTAGGGTGTGCAAAGGGGAGCCGATCAGGGGCGACGGCGATGATGAAGATGTTGCGACAATGTACCAACAGAGGTGTGCGTGCAGTCGCTTCTGCTCAGGAATAGGTGGGAACCCGTTCGCCGGCCTCCACCGTCCGGACACGCCTGCGGCGCCCAAGGTCCGAAAATCCCAACCGGCACCGTCCGGAGACGAATTTCCCAAACGGTTCTCCCAGCCCGTCAAATCGCGTTCTGAGCCCAAATTTCGATTTGCGTTTCCTGGAAGTAAGCGAACGGCAGCCCGTTTGAGACAACTGCACAAGGAAGTCGTGGAAGCCTCCTTCAATTGGGCTGTTGCTGACAAGGTTGGTGCCGAATGTGATGCTAACAATCATTCCGAAGGACTCTCCGGACACAGCTGAATTTCGTTACAACGATTCTGTCCCAGTCGCCCAACATGTTCCCAGGAAGATTACCAAAAACTCATATCTGCCGCGGGGTCATTTGGAGGCAAGATATGGTTTCTTTTCCTTTCGTAGTCACGCTTCATCATGTTCTAGGTGGAGCAAATACTACATTCAGTTTAGTTGTGTTATCGGTGCATGTGTTACTAAATATCATTGTTACAGACCATATCTGCAATCCCGTCTTTTTTTCTCGCGATGGCATTGTATTCGGAGGTTCAATCGAGGGCGTAAGCGGAATTAGATAAAGTTGTGACTGGTGGACGGTTGCCCAGCTTTCTGATCGTCCCAACTTACCGTATGTTGAATGCGTTATGCAAGAGGTTTTGCGGTGGAGCCCAGTTGGGCCAAACACACTACAATCTGTGCTGATGCGCCCTTAGGGATACCGCCTATGTCAACTGAGGACGACGTTTACAGAGATTACCACCTCCCAGCAGGTACAATTATCATAGCGAACATGTGGTAAGCGTTTTTGCAATAATTCACAACACGCAAACCTTAATTATGCCCCAGGTCTGTTCTGCACGATCCGCTCGTGTTTCCAAACCCACATGAATTTGCCCCGAGCGTTTCTTGAGCGTCGATAAGCGAGCCGTCGATGTCAGCGTTTCCGCTTTTGGCGGATCCTCTACTCGTATCTCAAACCCGAGTCCGTCCGCGCCCATCCGGAGGCGACCGTCCGCCCATGGGCGACGTGTCAGGTCATAGGTGACGCGCTGAGCTTCGCGTGCACCCTTGGCTTCTTGTTATTTGTTCAACAACCCCTCTGGGGTTCGATTCCATGGCGTATCTTGTAACTTGGAGACTGATATAGCTACAAACCCAGGGGTACATGTTATTGCTTTGGTGGGGTAGGGGTAACCCGGGTTGTTACTATGTCAACTCTTGCAACCAAAATCGTTCAACTCGCCGGGGGTTCGATTCCCCCCCAAAGCATACTGAGGTTTATTGTTTTTTTCTGTTGCACCGTGTGTGTCAGAAATATAATGCCGGGGTGGCGAAGGGCCGGAGGTCTCGGAGTGAACCACGAGCTGCGGAGTGCAGGTGCGACAGCACGGAAATGGCACAGAGGGCGCAGGGAGGACAAGGATGTCAAAGATGATAGATTGGACTTCCTATGTGATGCTACAGACCCTGTATATAAGGTGTGTGATAACTATCAGTAATGATGTATCAAGGTACATCATATATCAATGATGAACACATGCTAGTGATAAAATGATATATCAATAAAGCTGTACCCGGACTGATGTAAACGAAACAATCATATTCTGACACTCCCACCTTTACGAAGGAAGAGGACACTGTAGATGGAGAAAGAAAAAATCAATCCAAAGAAAGAGTGTGTGCAGGCTCCCACCGAATGGAACACACGAAAGGATACGAAAGAACCAAAGCATACCAAGAACCCAAGAAGTCAGATCCAAATCTGAACCAAAACTTGGCTACAGTCTCCGTCACCAAGAGATCCAGGTAGGGATACCAAAAACCAGATTGTTGAGCAATCTCAACAACCCACACAGGCCATGTCGGTTTCCAAACACGAATGGCTACAGTCTCCGTCACCACAAGGTTCAAAAATCGCTGAAGAGAGATGGGGTGCTGTGAACGAACTGAACTCTCATACAGTTCGGCAGAGGTGCATCCAGTATAGCATGTGCCAATACATGGCAGGGCCTGAGTTCTTGACTCAGGCTAACACCCGAAAGACTCGGGGAGCGCATCAAGCGAGCCGGCCAGAGGGAAACATTCCCAAGGAATCCGAATGGATTGAAGAGGAGAGCAGGTCGGTGAGTTCTGCATAAAAAAAACGGCTGCAGTCTGGAGATGCTGAACCAAAGGACCAGATGGAGCTTGGCAGGATGACCAAGGGAATAATGGATAGTGGCGGCAACGGAGCTGGTAGCCAGAAGGAGCAGTGTAGGTGGATGCTCCCACCCAATTCAATAACTCGATGCATCCCAAACAAGGTCGAAATAACTCGAACAGATATGCGGAAGAGGGCTGTCGCGCATGTCGTAAAGGGTTCGCACACTCTGGCATTGATGGCCTGAGAGCGTATATCGACGTGCATCAGGAAAAAACCGGGACTTGTCGACCAGGCTTCATAGCCCCGGTAGCTCCTGGTAGCTCCCAGTAGCAGCAGTAGCTTGGTCGACAAGTCCCGCTACCAGGCTACCGAGAGCTACCAGAACTACTAAGCAAATGTTTTTTCCTGATGTGGGAAAAACAGCGCGGGAATGCGGAGCTCCGGGAAGCCTCGAGGACGAGGAGAAGAATGCGCAAGACATCAAGGAAGAGGATAGGGATGTGTGGTGAAGGATGGCTAGACCAGCAGAAGAGACATCGAGCGGAGATGCAGCTCAAGATGCTAGTGATGCGCAGGTGATCGCCAAAGGGCGCGAGTCGACGATCGACAGCGATCCAGGGCATCACGTCGTGAGGGACGTCGAAGGAGGTCTGCAAGAGACCCAGAGGGAACCAGGGTCGTTGCAGGATCGGGTAGATCGAAATGAGCAAGGCAGTAGAAGGTAAAGAGCGTAAGGCGGATTTAAGCCAGGCAGCGATTACTCAGCGCAAGGGCGCGGGGCCCATAACCTGTCAGAAATATAATGCCGGGGTGGCAAAGGGCCGGAGGTCTCGGAGTGAACCACGAGCTGCGGAGTGCAGGTGCGACAGCACGGAAATGGCACAGAGGGCGCAGGGAGGACAAGGATGTCAAAGATGATAGATTGGACTTCCTATGTGATGCTACAGACCCTGTATATAAGGTGTGTGATAACTATCAGTAATGATGTATCAAGGTACATCATATATCAATGATGAACACATGCTAGTGATAAAATGATATATCAATAAAGCTGTACCCGGACTGATGTAAACGAAACAATCATATTCTGACAGTGTGCACGATGAGAATCTGAAGCAGGAATTAGCAGCCGGATTCAACTTGCATCGTTAGATCCTGCCCCGGCATTTACTTGACTGCAACTTTGCCAAAGCTTCGATTTTGTGGTTCCGAGTCTGGACAAAATTGGGCGGTATTCTCTCGCCAAATGAGCTGGTGATTTAAGGCATGGTGATAATATCGCTTTGGTGTAGTGAACCTAACCTTTTTTTTTACTCAAACCATTACCACATTAACTATCTATCATTCCCGACATAAATTTTGCCTCCCACGCGATTTGTGCTCAAAAGCGACAAGTGTTGATGCAATATAACGACCACCAGGATATCCTGAGTTCAGCTTTTTGCCCAGTAAAGTCAGGTTCGTGAGTCCCCCTCAGAGTATGACATAAACGGAGGGGAGAGCTAGAACTGGCAAAGTGCGAGGGGGGTAGAAATACCAGGAGGGACATCCATGGGGAGAGTATGGAAGCTGCTACCCGTCGCGCCGCGGGTTCCGTCGTGCTTTGAAACAGTTATTCGACGGGACGGCTTGATGAGTCGAAACAACGGCCGTCACAGCACGACGGACCACGACGGGTACAGATTCACGTACAGAGAGTGAGCGCGTTAAATGAGAAAGTCCCATCGAACGGGAAATGCACAGAATCACGTACAGGAGCTTATGGTCAAGTTTGGGACAAGTTTGGGACGACATAGACCGCCCTGCTCGTCTGAGGTAGCAGAACTGAGAAATTCGAGGGAATTCGAGGGTGTCAGAAGAGGATAATTCTATTTGGCAACCCCCCGTGCCAAAAACACGGGGGTGCCATATAACATGGCACCCCCCACGTGTTCTTATCTAGCCGGCGATCAAATCGTGATGCGAGTGCTGCCGTCCCAGAAGTTGGAAAATCACGCAAGTCTTGCAACCAATTCCTGTCCAGATAAATATGTAAGACACCCTTGAATTCACACTATATGGTCGGTATAAATTAATGATGGTTCATAATTCCGGGGACTCTGTTCGCTCAACGCTTAGATGAAACAGCAGCCAATCATTATTGATACATGTAAGTAGTCTGATATTACTGCCAGTGCGCTATCAAATGGCTTCGAATTTGGGTCCACCCGGCCATTTTTAGGCTTCCAACGAAACCTGAGGTTTTAAAATATGTGTGTCTTGGTAGTCTTCGGATGAACTGGCGCCAGAGAGTCTAGATGTATCACATGATCACCATCAAAATTACTGGACGTGTCTCGGCTAATTCGGCAATCTTATCGAACTTATATAATCAGGGGGTGCCACGCAAAAGCACCCCAAAGCACCCCCCGTGTTTCTGGCACGGGGGGTTGCCAAATAGAATTATCCGTCAAAAGAGCGGCGTTTATTGTTGTTGTTGTTTGAAGTAGTGCTCCGATTCGGTTCAAAAATCGGTCCGAACCTGTCCGAACCTGAACCGGACCGAACCGAGCGCCGCGTTCGGCGTTCAGGTTTAGGAATTCGGAGCATCCTGGGGTGATGCTGAACGTGTTCGAACGCCGAACGGTGACTGGGCAGAAGTAGGCGGCATCGTTGAGCTTCGGTGGCCAGCCCGGGCCGGCGGATAGGTTTGCAGTAATCAAGACTCCAAATGTTTACAATAACACTACATGTGAAGCATATGTATATAATGTATATGATGATCATATGCGTCATCAATTGCTCCAGTGTTAGGAACGTGGATACATTGCCAGGGCAAATCGAAATACTTACAGTGGAGAGACGGAGTCACTCACAAAAATGCCAGTGATCGCGTGACAGCCCAGTGTTCTTGTCTACTAGTGTTGGGGAGGTTCGGTTCGGTCCGGTTCAGAGCCCCATTTCTCTGAACCCCGAACCCGAACCTGGGTGCGGTTCGGCCAAAACCCCGAACCCCGAACCTGAACCTGGGTTCGGTTCAGGTTCGGTTCGAGGTTCAACCCTGCTGAACCTGGAAAAACCTGCCAAAAATGGCAAAAAAATGGGGGAAAAGCCCCCAGGTTCGGGCATTTGGGGAGCCCCGAACCTCAGGTTCGGTTCGGCACAGAAAAATGCCGAACCTGAACCCCGAACCTGCGGTTCGGTCCGGTCCGGTTCGGGGTTTGGGCGGTTCGCCGAACCGGACTCCCCCAACACTATTGTCTACCGTCGCTGCGATGCATATAGGTGCTGGGATGTGGCTGAACTCACCCAAATCATATTCCAGAAGCTGGAGCCATACTCCTATGAGCCTGGCACTAATCATGGCATCACAAAACACGGTCAACTGTACCGGCTCGCCCTGACCTGTCGCAAATTCTGCGATCCTGCATTGGAGGCTTTGGGAGGATCCCCATTTCATGGACCTCTTAAAATGTCTCCCTTCCCACATCTGGGAGATCTCAGAGGGGTCATTCGTGCGTCGTTTATCTTCTGCATGGAATTAATTATCAGAAAATCCGATCTCCAGTGGGTCCTGGGGACTGGGAAAAAGTCTTGACATACTTAAAACAGATAAGAAACTTTTGTGCTGAGTACTACCCATCAAGTTGCCTTGACGCTTCCGTGCTTCAGTCATTGGTCAACTCGCTTCCGTCCCGCAGGCTTTCCAGATAATTTATTAGCCTTGCTCCAGTTTTACCTGGTGTGAACCAAACCAGGACTGGAGCCGATGTATTCGACTGGAGTCTGTCCAGTGGTATATGGAGAGCTTGAATACTCTATAGTGCGACCCAAACTTGAACTCCAGTCCCGACCAAAACTAGAGTTCAACCCTGACTCCAGTCCCCATCCCCGAGTCCAGCAATACATGACTCCAGTGCCGTCCAACTCCAACTTATCCAAACTTACAACTTAAGTCCAAAACCCGACTCCAGTCCCACGAAGACTCAAGTTCAATTCCGAGTCCAGTCCCACGAAGACTCAAGTTCAATCCCGAGTCCAGTCCCCATCCCCCGACTCCAGTCTCAACAAATGACTCCAGTCCCATCCCTGACTCCAATCCAAACTCACGACTCGAGTCCAAACCCTGGCTCAGGCTCCAGTCCCACTCCGCCCACGCAAGTCAACTGGAACTTGATTTACCTAAGGCAGAACCTAAGTCTAATACTACTTCTCAAGTTCTATCTGTAACTCAACATCCCTCAGTGGGCCCTGTTGCTAGACAGACAGGGCCAAGGAAAGGGGTGTCATTCACTGACCTTATATATGTCCAGCCTATGGCCACCATGCCACTAGAGCAAAGCTCATTGTTCTCTCAAAATATACAATGACATCCTATTGTCCTGGGCCACCGGAGCAAAGCTCATGTTCATTGTCTTGCCATTTTGAGAAGACAATGAACATGAGCTTTATGGTGGCATGGGCTGGACATATATAAGCCCAGTGAAAGAAGCCTCTTCCTTGGCTCTGTCCACCAACAGAGCCCACTGACAGACTTCAGTTGAAGATACTTAGCAGTAGGTTTAAACTTAAACTTAGGCTCAGCCTTGAGTACATTAAGTTAGAGTTGGACTGGAGTTGTGGTTGGACTGGTGTTTTCAGTTGGACTGGAGTTGTGCATTGAACTGGAGTCATGTTTAGACTGGAGTTGTGGTCAGACTTTGTGCATTGGACTGGAGTTGTCAGTTGGACTAGAGTTGTGCATTGGACTGGTGTTGTCATTGGATTTGAGTTGTGGCTGAACTGGAGTCGGGGGGTTTGGACTGGAGTCCAGGTTAGGACAATATACAACAGTAGAGTCTGATGACTCCAGTCCTTCTTCGGTGGACACCGGTCATCCTGGTCAAATCTATTCCCCCACATTTCGCGGCTTGGGAACACGTTCCCATAATCCACGTCGAAATTGATGGCCCCGCTGCGGATTTGCCTCCGATTGCGCGTCACTGTAGATTGCTGAGCCATGTGACCTTCCAAGGGCCATACGACGACAGCACTAGAGACTGGGTGTCCGCCTTTCTTGTTCAGTTGACTCATCTGCAAACCATTGAGGTTATATGCATGACCCAAGACGCCTTTCTTCATGTCGCTAGCCTTGACCATGTCAAAACTTTGCGGGTTCGATGCCCCGACATGGAAGCTTTTGCAGAAGTGGCCCCCAAATCCTTTTTCCCGCTCTCCGTCGGTTGGTACTGCAGGCAGAAAGTGTCACCTTCGCTACCCATTTCGTGAAGGTCCTTGACCGCGCACCATTGGAGACAATAGTAGTCACTTCCCGCCAAGATTCCGGGACAAACAATTTCCACACACTTTTCTGGGCGATTCACACTTACTGCTTCACCAGCCACAACACACTGACGTCCATCACCGTCGAACTTACCGAAGATTTTGACACGGTGTCTGCAAATACCTTTCCGTACATCATGTCTTCCAGGGTTACACAACCTCTATTGGGATTCCCCAATCTCCGCCATGTGAGGTTGTTTTTCCCGCTCGGATTCATCCTCGATAATGAATTTGTGGACACCATGGCTCGTGCCTGGCCCTGTTTGGAGAGTCTCTGGATTGAAGGGCAACACACCCTCTACTTTCCATCCACATCGAACCCGACTATCATGGCTCTCCAGTCCTTCTCTCGCCACTGTCCTCACCTCCGCCATCTCTCGTTACTCGTCGAAGCTACAAATATCCAAATGGACCACTCTTCGCAAACTCCACGGACGATTCATACCACCCTCAAGTCTTGGGACCCCCTTCATTCGTCCATTGAATCGCCTATTCAAGTGGCAATTTTCCTCTCCTCTCTCTTCCCATCACTGTCGACAATTTACACGCCGAGATCCTCCCTTCATGAACTGCAATGGAAGGAGGTGGAGACGTTGGTTCCTGTATATGCGAAAATCTGTGCCGATGAAAGGCAGTTCGGTATGGCAAGCCATAGCTCTCCACCGCTTTCCGAGTCTGACAAATTGTAGGGCAAGCTCCGTAGCGTAACATAAATTCCTTGTGTGGAGGCGCAACGAGCGCCATGACTCTAAAACTGACTCTGAAACTGACGCGCAGTACGGTCTGGTGAGAATCTTGGAATGTCTAATATAGGGGGTCGCAATGTACTCGAACTTTTGTTACATACTGTATATAGTCTTTCAGAAATAGAAAGACTTTTCGGCACCGTAATGGAATATGTCAGGATGTCAAGAAGGTCAATCAACAGAGGTAATAGTAGCTGCTCCGACCCTCGCCGATCGCTCTCGATTCCACGTATCGGCAGATAGAGGCCCGGAATCTCCGACTCGGGGTTTGAAGACCAAATCGGTTTACATATCTTTGGGAGCAGAAACGGCATTGTCTACTGGCGCCGCGGACCACCGGCAGTGGCGCCCCCGACGAGGCGATCGCGGGACAGCTAAGTCGACTCTCTATTTGTCCTTCCCTCACCGCTACACAGAACAAAATTCCATGCGCTTAGACAGTCGGGCTTTGTTCCTTCCGGTTAGAGCGCTAAACTTACTCATTGCTTTAGGATGAAGCCCCAGTGAAGGAAGGGTAACCGCCCAATGCCGCAATATTAAACGGAAAGAACTCCCCCGAAAGCATTACTAACGTCGCAAGAGCTGATGCTTATGTACATACATTTCTATAGATATGTCTAATTAGCCTTCGCTCTGAGGCTCGTCAAGACTCAAGAGCCGTAGCCATGACATAATGGTCCCACTACCCAACGCGAATTCGCAGTATAGTAAGCGCTCTATGAAATTTCAGGTAAAGAAAACACATATGAGGAGTAGAGGAGTCGGAGTCTGGATCCAGCTCATCTTGGACTGGAATGAACTGCAGTGAAACCACTCAAGTACTCAAATTTTTGTGAGTGTGCACGAGTGACGAAATGCAAGACTCACCCTGATTCTTTTTGCTTTGCATGTAAGGTCCTTACGAGACCTTGAGCTTTTGAAGGGCCAAATTTTGGTCGCAATCGCCGTGGCCACACTGGTTGTTTAGCTTGCTCCTGTTACCGAGAATCGGCCACCAGCTCTCAGGTCATATTGCAGTTCAAATTGCATAATGATCTTTTTCGAATTGAGATCAGAGCTCCATCATTTACTCTTGAACTCGTTCAGGGCATATCATGTAGTATAATATCATGTACTGAGGACATCTGAAGGGCATAGACCACCAACTGTTCAAGATTTACAGAATGACTGGCGGTTGGGACCACCGCAGACCAGTCATAAATCACGTCTCATCGTCTCTCCACTCAATCTCACCACTCAATCTCACCACCTTGCACAGGTTTGAAATGACCCAGAATGCCAAATTAAATCTATAAAAGGCACATTTTGTAAGTAGCTGATTACTGGTGTGTGACATGATAACGAGTTTCGACCTTTTTCTTGCTCGATATACCCCAAACTGTGGATAAGCACAAAATTTGGCAGTACACTAGATTGCATCTAAGACTAACCCGTGGCTAAGTTAGATTCGTACAAAGTGTTCAAGGGGTGTGTCATAAACGGCAAACAAAATTTGATTGTGCCGTTCAGGCGTGTAATGAGTACTGTACTGTATGTAAGTTATCAAAAACGAAAGGTTCGTCTCCTGCTTGCGACCTTATCCTCCCTCATGTAATTTTATCAGGCCAAGGCATCCTATTGCATAGAGCTTTACAGCCTTGTATGGCAAAAACCGTTTTGATTCGCGGAAACAATGCGGAAATTACCGCAACTGTCACTGTGCCGGCTGTCCCGCGCCGGTGACAACGTGCCGATCCTAGACACCTATCCGAGAAGGCCGACCTCGTGACATATGTTCGTTTTCGGCAAGTGCCGGCGGGGGTTTATAATAAACACTAACTCATGGTCCGCCACGCAAGCACATCCTCGCCCTCGCCGTCCATCGAATCCCCGTTATTTTGTACGAAACCTCTTTGCCGGTATGTCGGTGTGTGTGACAATCTCCTTGGCTCACCAAATGAACTGGAGACCATAGAGACAAATGGCGAGAAGACAACGTCGCTTTGGTGTAGTGCTATACGCGAGTTACTGTTGTTTGTCCACCGACCTGTTTGGGGTTCGATCCTCTACAAGGGCATGATGACGGATTTTAAAACTTTTTGGTTTTTTGTTTCCTACCAAAAGACTTGGACTACTGCTGTAGCTATTCAATTATTATGTGTACTTGTTCTTTCCTTCAAGCACTCGCACTTCTAATTTTATTACGTTCTAAAAATCCCATTTCTCCCAATTCTGACTCCATATTCCGGTCAAAAAGATGTGAGAGTTGGAGACTGATATAGTTACAAACCCAGAAGCCTGGAGTATTGCTTTGGTGGGGTAGTGGTAACCTGGGTCGTTGCCATATGGGTCAAATGGTAGAGCCGCGAATGTCGACCCGCCGGGGGTTCGATTCCCCCTCAAAGCATATTCTCTTGTTCATTTCTTTTTTCTGTTGCACCGCAAATACTTCCAGAGAAAATGTGCAGCAAATTTGGTCCTGCTGCAGTGAAGGCCATAGGGGGCTCTAAATCGCACATCCGGACTCCCGATGGCCCTATGAGGGCCCAAGCACGTAAATTTTAAGGCTCAGCATAACCAGAAAAGGAAGCATTTTTATGGCATCTATATATTTAATTTATTGCACTCTTCCTCCGAGTCAATTTTAATTGCACGGTAATCAGAAGCCTCATCCTCTTCGGCATCTGCAAGAGCTTCTACGTATCGCATACTGCTCCGCCCGCATGAGCCATAGAGACTTACGACCTTTGAAAGAACTGACCGACAAGGACATGTCATTTGAATAAGATGAAGTCCTAGTCAACGACCGGCGCACCAAGGAGAACAAGCCTATATCGCTCCGTCAGCTCCATCGGCTGGGCCCCTCTGTTTGTCCTTCTGTCTTTATAACTTTGACTATTCCCGAAGACCGTTCCGACCAAGTTCCGACGCCGATCAGTGGCGCTCACATGCTGTTCCGCGCAGGCAGAACCAAACTCGGTATATATGCCGACTCAGAAACAGGGAGTATAACCTGAGAATACAACTATGAGGTATTTAGGGTTGCAAAAAACTAGAAGAGAAAAAAAAATTGCGGCTTTGGACAAGGCCAAAGACCGCATGCGGGGTGTGCACAAAAGCTCTCTATTGACATTCGCTTAAGCTACGGCTCCTCCATTGTAACTCACAATCCTCCCTAGTCAATGTTCGCAGGCTACGGAAACGACAACACTCGCACGAACCTTAGCATACATTGTCAAGAGCGTCCCAAAGATTATCTTTTCCCTGATCTTCAACGGAGACGACTGCCAACTTGGAGGCGGTTTCGATTCTTCCGGTTGCGCAGCGGGAGCGAGATTAAACACTACAAATTTCTGTAGAAGACGAACAAGCTTAAGGAAGAACGACACTTGTTAATAAGCGAACTGAATGTAATGCGCGCTCAAAGGCTGTGCGAACGACCGAATCACTGGCATCTACCTGTTGACCGAGACAAATTCTGGGACCTGCAATACATGCGTGATCAGTTGAGGGCGGTAATCACAGAGTGTAGTCACATCTTACATCTTACCCGCGTTGAAAGGAATGAAGATGTAAGGATTCGGGGTCAAATATTTGTGCAGCCCCTCGTCCAGAAATCTATCCGGGTCGAACTCGAGGGCTGTGATACATTTCAGACATATATCGATCATAGTTGGAACCGTACCGTCGGGACCCCACAAATCAGTGCGCCGATACATCAGAAAGATGGGGTATATAATTCTGGAACGATTGGTCACCATCGTAATAAAGCAACGTAAATTTTGACGAACTTGGCTTTCGCAGGGACATAACATTGGCTACCGCCCGGGGTCGTTGCTGGAAAGGTTGTAGCATTCTTCGCAGATCTTTCTCAAGAATATTAGTGGTTTGTTCCTCACTGCACCCGATAGTTGGACACACCTAATTATATATATATACATATATATCCATTGGACTATGCCGGTATAAATGAGAACCTTAAGACTCGAGTCTTAAGCAGCTCACACGGGAGGATACAGCCGAAGTGTTTCTTTGTGACCTGTCGGATCTGAAAGCCAATGCGATGTCAACATACCATTGATAAACGCCCACAGGTAGGGCATAGTCTTCAAGTCTTCGTGCGTTGGTCGCCGGGAGTTTTCGATCTTGTCCAAGATCTCGGCCCGAAGCCGCTGAGCTACATCTGGATGTTCCGCAAGCATGTATACACCAAAGGTCAAGGTCGCTGAGGTCTGAACTAAAACGATCAGCTTTCCGATAAACCTGAAAAGTGATTCGGAGACGGACGGTATCACGGCCAGCCAACAAGACGTTCAAAATCTCATCTCGGATCAACCCTTATCAACCCTTTATATGAGACACATGTTAGAACCTTGGAGAATTTGGGAAAGAGGGAAGCAAAACCTTCTGTTGTTTCCAACAAATGACTGAGAAGGGTGTCGGTTCGGGCTGATTTCTGTCTTGCAATGCGTCGTTCAAGATGGGTTCAATAAACTGGTCAATGACCTTGAGATCAATTTATTAACGCTCAGACTGAGGGCGGAGACGTATCATACAGTAATCGATGATGTGGCCTGACACCGGAGGCAAAACCTGACGCATCAGGCGCCAGGTGCCTTACGCCCACCCTGAACCCATCTGGCTCGCATCTGGCACGCACCTAGGCTGCATCAGGCGACTCGTGACAGTCCCATGCTGTCACCTAGTGTCACCTCATGACAAACCCGTGGCACTACAGTCTCGCGCGCACGCAAACTCGTGTAAGGGAAATTACATCACGCCACCAAGGCTTGTGACAGCGTCTGACAGGCGCCGAATGCGTTCAGGGTGTGTGCAGGGTGGGCGTAAGGCACCCGGCGCCTGATGTGTTCGGTTTTGCCCCCGGTGTGACTTGATCTCCCCAGAATTCGTTCAAGGGCCACTTGTTTCCAAACCGTGGCCTCCCGACCTGGACCTGCTGGCCCTTGAGAGAAGCGTCTATGCGTGTTGGACGGATGGTTCAAGAACGAATCAGCGTTTTTCTGGGGCGAAGTTCGAACCACTAGGATGGGCAAGCCCGGCAGAAAGCGAATCAACTGATTCCCCAAAGAGGAATTCCGTTCCCGAGTCCAATGTGAATCGGGCAGCGACGTCCTGGAGATTGATTAAACATTTGAGAAGGAGAATACGACGTGTCTACCTGAATGTCGACGGCATATCCCTCGTGCAGCCTCGCCGCCGCTTGACCGATGGCATCGTTCGCGTGCTTGTTGAATATGTCGAAGTTGGTGATGCGCCCTGGGATACGTAAGACTGCGAGGGCATGCGAAGACTGCCACACCTCGAGAGAAGAAAGGGCGTGTCATGGATCTATGAAATCTGCCCACGAGGTATTTAGAGCGGTCCTGCATCGTAATACATGTACGCACTTCCACATCTCATCTATGTGCCACAGTTTTAAACTTGTGCGACCTCAAAGTACCCAACACGCACCGTCAGTGTTGAAGACTTCTGCACAAAAATCAGAATACATAAACGCTAACAAGATAGATCTCACCTCTTCCGAGGAGTGAGTTATTGCGCGCGGTGTCATCAGGGCCTGTGAAACAGTATTTTAAAGAAATAATGGGTCAGAACTTCGATTCTATCAGCACCTTTCCAAAAATTCACGAAGTCTGTTGCCAACACTGCCTATGCAAAATGTGAATAGGCATGATTGCAAGTAGATAACCCGCTCTAGCCTTGATGTACGCTGGTTCGGTGGTTGCTATCTATCTCCTCTGCCAGTTGGGATCCGTTTGCGATACAACACCACTTTTACCCGGTTTTCAAACAACAGTCTTACCGAAACCGTATTTCCGTACTGCTGGAACCAATCATAGAAAGTCTTGGCTGAGATTGATTTGAGCGATGACGACGAAACAAAAAGTAGCAGATGAGTCACCAGGATATCCCGAGTTCAGCGTTTTGCCCAGTAAAGCCAGGTTCGTGAATCCCCTGGCCAGCGATCTGGGATCTGTGGGATAGGAACTGCCCCACGCCGCTTCATAACCATCCGTGTAGTTATGCCGGTGTAGAATTCAGCCAAAAGACAACAGGCTGTGCAACGAAAGCGGCGAAGATGGGGATCCACTGCGATTCTTGGACCAGGGGTATCCTGCTGAATATAACATAGGTCGCAACAGAGGGGAGAGCTAGAACTGGCAAAGTGCGAGAGAGGTAGACAATGCCAGGAGGGACAACCATGGGGAGAGTATGGAAGCTGCGAGGCAGTAACCCTTGTTTCCGGCATATTATCTGAGAGCTCAGCAGGCGAGCTTGCGAGCTGGCTGAGTGGTAGGCAAGGTAGTGGAGGCGTAGACAGGTCTCGCCTCACGATCAGCTGTGTAGATTGCAACTGCATCTTATCTACACTGCCTCCTGTCATGGGCTTGATCCTGTACGTCGACATGCTCGCCCTCAAAGCTCTCTTCACGCCCCCATTCGCCTCCACACGCGTTCTTTCTGCCCCACCCTCCCATCCCTGTTCTTCGAGCTTACGCTCGGGTCGCTCTGGGTCTCGTTCCTCCCAGACCCTCGGTGGCGTACGGGGTTTGGCCGTTCCCGCGTTCCGTATCCCTCCGACCCGGACTTCCCCGCCGCCTTTGCCCGCTGCGTCGTGAAGCCCCGTCGGCCGGGCCGGCCAATCCCCCCGCACACACCCACAGACCATCCTTTCTCTCCTCCATTCATACCCAACTCTCCTTTCCTCTCGCAGGCTGGTGCGAAGCACCAGCCCACTCCCTTCCTCTTATGAGACCGCGGTCGTAGCAATTATCTACCTTGCTTGCAATCACGCATCTTGCGGATCTTGATAGGTCAGCTGGGAGGACCCCGAGCCGGGAACCCGTTTCGGATTTGGGTAAAAATCGGCGAGTTTGGGTCCAAAACCTGCTTAAAAATTCGGGGCTCGTCTGAGGTAGCAGAAATTCGAGGGAATTCGGTGAGAGTGGTTGGGATCAGAAAGAAGAGCGGCGTTTATTGTCGTTAAACCAGCTGTTTAAGAGTGCAGGACTCCGCAAGTTGATGATGTAGGATAATTGATTGCAAACGTCCAAATATGCACAATTGGCAGATCCGGTTTTGCCTACATTGTCGCATTACATACATATAATTGTAAATATCTATAGATATGGCTAATTAGCTTCTGCTCCGAGGCTCGTCAAGAGCCGTTGCCATGACAGCCATCGACCAACGTCACCGGAGTCTGGATCCGGCTCATCTTGGACCGATGATCATGAACAGTGAAACTACTCAAATTCAAATTTTTGTGGGTGTGCACGGAATGCAAGACAGCACTCAATAAAGACTCTGATTCTTTTTGCTTTGTAAGGCCCTTACGAGCTTTTGATGGGCCAAATTCTGTCCGCCGCAGTCACACTGGCTGTT